TTTATTCATATCATGATCTGATCACCATACTCAATATATCCCATATGCATGGGGGTATTGGGGTAAAGATACAAAAGGTTTGCTAGGGTAGACCCTCTTTCACTCAGACTCAGCCCCCCCCCGAAACTCAGCCCCCCGAACCCCCCCTGAAAAAAATTCAGCCCCCCCCCAATTGAAATCCTGGCTACGGGCCTGGGTTGAGAGGAAACATGATAACCATGTTTAAATATTTGAAAGGATGCCATCAGGAAGAGGGAGCAGGCTGGTTTTCTGCTGCCCTAGAGACTAGGACCTGGAGCAGTGGGTTCAAATTAAAGAAAATGAGATTATATCTGATCATTAGGAAGACATTCCTGATCGTAAGAGCTGTTCAACCATGGAACTGACTGCCTTGGAGTGTGGTGAAAGCTCCCTTCTTTGGAGACTTTTAAAGTCAGGGTGCTTTGATTGTGCTTTTCCTGCATGGCATAAGGGGGTTGACTGGATGGCCCCTGGAATTGTACCTATTATTATTATTTTACTGACACAAAAACACAGTATGTCACAGCAAATGAGATCTATATGCTGGATTTCGTATCACAAAATCACAAGATGAACACTTCCCGAACGTCTAGGACTGTGTGATGTATTTTTTATTATTATTATTTGAAACACAACAAGATGAGTTCACAGCAAACACTCTGCTGGCTGTTGAATTGGATCACACATCGGACACTTCCCAAGTGTCTATTATTATTACTGTTTTCATTTTGTTCAATGAGTTCACACAAACACTCTCCCATCCATCTGCCTCTGGCCTGTTTGGTCTCCTCCAACTCTATGATTCTATAAATGCTTGTACAATCCAGAATCTTGATTCACATGTTATTATCCCTGGAACTACACTGCAGAGAAACAACTTTCTGGAAAAACAGACATAGCAGATTTAACATGCAAGACCCATAGGATATTCTATGTTTTAGGAGAAAGGCCTCTGAGGAACATCCACCTTCTTACAATTTCTTGGTCATACACTTCACACAAACATAATTTTGTCCTGGGCTAGAACCACAGAAAGTTAAATACATCAGAGACAATATACAACATGTATTTTTTCTAACTGTGCTAGCCCCCTTCCAGACTCATAAAAATCTATATGTGAGGGTAGAAAGGATGGCTCATGCAATTTCAGGAAGCCTTCCTACACAAGGAAAAGGCAAAAATAGATCTATGTCATGACACAGAAGACTAAGCCCAATTCTGAATTATACAAAAGTCCTGCTAATATAGAGAAATGTCAGGAATAAGGATGTAACAATCTTGCAGTTGACACATCAAGATTCAGTCTGTTGAGGATTCTCTAAGCCCTGGGAGAGTTCTTGCCTCCAGCACAGGAAGTCAAGCACCAAGTGTGTGAGTGGGAGTTAATGCTCAATATTTTGCACAAAAATCAAACTCTGCATAAAACGAGCCTCTTTTCCCTTTGTGTAGTATATGCAAACACCCCTACACAGACAGCATTCTGGAAAAGACCACAAGCACTGAAGTGATGATTCTCCACCATTCATTAACTTTGCTGGACTGGCCATGTTGTCACCCGATTACCAGTTACATTACTCTCAGCTCAAGAGTGGAAAATGGATTTAGTGGACAACAAAAGAGATTTAAAGATGGGTTTACATCTAATCTTAAAAATGAGGCACAAACATTGAAAACTGGGAAGCCCTAGTCCTTGAGCATTGTAACTGGAGGTCAACTGTTATAAACAGTGCTATGGATTTTGAGAAGGCACAAATACAGGGTGAAAGGAAGAAGCATGCCAAGAGGAAGGCACATCAAGCAAACCATCTTTCACCTGAAAACCTATATTTTAATTGTGAAAGATCATGTGGATCCAGAATAAGTCTCTACAGTCATGTACAGACCCACCACCAAGACTCTACCTTTGGAAGATAACCATATTTGGCCATGAGGGATCACATATAGTATAGTACACAGACATATATGCAGCAACCCCAAAAGGACAGCCGGATTAACCACTCAACATGAACTGTTGTAGCAGGGAACGGTTTGATGAAAGGAGACACAGAGAGAGGTCTGGAGACTTTAAAGCACGTTTATTTATCCAGCTGGAGCCTGGTGTGGAGTCACCTCTAATCACACCAGCCGCGATCAAGGTGCGGACTGGCCTTTTATAAGTTTCAGACTCAAGTAGACAAAGAACATACTATAACATATATCATCGTCATCCCTACGTCATTTTGGCATCAAATTCTACCTCCAAACATGCAAAAGGCATGTCTCTGCCTTGCAGAGCAAGCATGGAGATGTTTCCCCTTCTTCTTGGCTGTGCTTACATTCATCAATCAAAGGCCACTTTGAGATGTCAGGAGAGGGGAGGTGGAATAATATGCCCCTTCTGAAGACAAGCAGTTTGCTTGTCTGTTAGCTTGGGTTTCTTTCTATACACAGAGGGAACTAGATTTTCCTATACATTTAAAGTACATATGATTTTTATGCATAAATCAATCAATAAATATCTATTTTTCCAATATCTCCTCATCAGAACAACCCATTTTAAATCACCAATCCAACAAAGCAACACCTACCATGCTTTAAATGTGGTATTACCAAAGATGTGCAAATATCAATCTTGATTTTTTTTTTAATGTCAGGAGCAACTTGAGAAACTGCAAGTCACTTCTGGTGGGAAAGAATTGGCCGTCTGCAAGGGCGTAGCCCAGGGGACATCCAGATGTTTGAGGTTTTACCATCCTTATGAGAAGCTTCTCTCATGTCCCCGCTGGAACTGGCAGATGGGAGCTCACCTCGTCTCACAGATTGGAACCACTGACCTTCAGGTCAGCAGTTCAGCTGGCACATGGGTTTAAACCATGGCAAAGTTGGCAAAACTTGGCAAAGTTCCCCATGGCCCAAGGTATCTTAGATGGAAAAATAAAAAGCTCCAAACAAAACCTCATCATTTTGCAGTAAGGAAAAAACTTGTCATGTTTCTCTAATGACAAGCCAAATCAAAATGTATATTTAATGGCTAGGAGTCAATAGGGTAAAACTGCTCGTGCACAAGCTGTTTTTAAAACTGCCTCAACTCTCAAGCAAGGAGATGCCAGAGATTTCCTTGCATAAACAAAAAAAACCTGGTGGTCGCGTGCTGCACTTTGCACGCATGCACACACACACCCCACCGCCACCAAAGTAGAATGTAAGCACACAGCAAATGCCTTACACCAGAGGGGACTGCCTCTCTGAGGCTAATTGCACACCTCCCTACCAGCCCAACAAAACCAGCAAGGCCTACTTGGCTCTAGAGAAACTCTAACAAGAAATCATAGGCTTGGAACTATGATACTTCTAGGCTTCCACCAAAACCCTCCAAAGCTTGCTTCCAAGAGGTCCTGTTTAAAGACAGGAAGCAAGGACAGGAAGCAAAAAAACATGTTGTCACTGAATTTTACTATATATTCTGTTCTGGAGAGAGTACACACAAGAAACAAACAAAAAGGAACCAAGTCAGTCCAGGATCATACAGAGAGGATCTGAACAAACAGAATAATGTTCAAAATAGTCCAGGAACTTGTTGGAAATCAACCTCACACTGCTCAAGTCTGCAGTCCTCAATAACGAACAGCTAGTTAGCATTAGGCTAGGCTGAGGGAATCCCCCCCTCAAAAGTCTGTTAGTTAGTGTATCTATTTGTTCTTCCATTTTCTATCTGAAACCTCATGGTGTTACTTCTACTTTTTCCATCTTTGCATACAGACATCTCTCTACTCTGAGTGTTTGAAGGTTTTTCCTCTTCTCTGAACCTTAGAAGAAATTGAGTTAGAGAGACGCTTAGGCCCAACTTCTGTTCTATCAAGAAATGTAGTTCTTATAATATTTGCATAAACCTTTTTGAAACTTTAAAGATTGAGCTCTGCATCTTTGCCTCATAAGCTCAAGAATTCTTTTGCAGCTACAACACTCCACCTTCTGCTCGCTGTGAGTTGACTGCTCAATTAAGTATCCTGTTAGTATTTTTGGATGCTCTCCTATTTATGTCATTATGACAAATTGTCTTAAGGTCCACTTCTGGATGGAAGGTATAATTCTTCCTTCCCACTGTGCTGCTTCCCCCCCCCCTTTTCTTTTCTTTTCTTTTCTTTTCTTTATTATTATCTATTTAAAGAAGCCAGGAGACCTCATCCCACAAGGTAAGGATCAACACCATGGAGTAATCAGGGGCTAATTATGGCCTTTTCCTGTCAATCTTCCCAACAACTTCATCACAGGGTGGTGCGAGGCCAGCATCGACATCATGCAATAAGAACTATCACTGAAAGCGATGCTCCTGCTGTGCTGATCTGTCACCTTTGTGCAATAAAGTACCCAGTCTCTGATTCTCCAAGAGAGAAACAGCCTAGCCTCCAATTCCCTCTTTTGAAGGTCAGCATGTGATAGTTCAATCTCTGCTTTCAGGGCAGGATTTGGCAAGATTTATTTAGAGGAGACATTTCATCACCGTCCTGTGAGGCTGAGGATGGGACTGGTCAAGGATTACCAAGTGAGTAACTGTGGTTGAGCAGGGATTGAACCCTAATCTCATCAACATTCAAAATATTTCTCTTTTTTTCTTTCTTCTTTTTTTATTATTATTCTCCCTTTTCTTGGTCCCTTGTTCGGTTCTGGATTTCACTTCCTTTCCATCTCACTATGCTCCCCCCCCCCCAATTCCTTCTCCCTTTCCCCATCTGATTTCAACCCTTCTTTATTGTTTATATTTGAAAAACCTTAATAAAGATTATATTTTAAAACATTCAAAATATTATACCACACTGGCTCTCACATACCATCTTATCTTCTGAAATAGGCCATAACTTTTGTATATGCAATTTCTAGTAATTTTAGCCACTCCTCGCTGAAATATATTTAGGTACCTCGGCCCATACAGTAGCTTTGTGCAAAGAACATAGCACTTCTGAAATAAAACCACGTAATACAAAAAAGAGCATTGATCTTACCTCAGAAAACCTTTGTATATCTTGGGTTAGAGTTCCTACTCTTTTCCACTGAAAATGTTTGAGTAGTTTCAGAATTGCAGGATTCACAGCATTATCGGATGGCACTGTCCGGAAGAAATAAGGATACTTTTTCTTATCAGCTAACTCTGGTGTTGTTGCAGCAAATGAGAGCTGTAAAAGAAAAGTCATAAAAAATTCTGTTAATTTAATCTATGTGCTTAACATAGAAAAAAATTCGTGTGTAAAAAACTTCATAAAATGTGTGGATCTCAAAGTTCTGCTGCCAAGACAAACAACAATTCACATATTTGCATCTTCTGGAAATATTATTACAAACCAAGCAAGTGACAAGTTCCATATAAGTTCCTATTCTAATAAAGCATGCCTCATAGAGGGCCAAGTCACACAAGTCATACCTTTTGGTAAGTTGATCAGCATTTACCAATATGTACAAAATAATAATAAAAACTTCATTTATATACTGCTCTATTTCCCTGAGGGGGACTCAGGACAGTTTTCCAGTAACATCACCGAAACTTACAAAATAAACAGCATAACATAAAATTACCAAAACAACATAAGCATAAAATTATCACAATAACACATGTATATTACAAATAACCCTGCTTATTCAGAGCAATTAAAAAACCGGGCCATAGCTAGTGCAAACTCAAAATATGAGGGTGCCAGGAATTAAGTACAGTGGTATAACAGGCAGGTACGGGTTTGTGACTGTTGATTTCCTGGGCCTATTAGAGGGATGACCGGGGTAATAGGTAAAAGTGCAAGGCCACATTCAACAATGTTTGGGCTGGACTAGAACTGGTCATTCTCAAAGGCTTGTTGAAACCACCCGGTATTCAAGCTTTTACAAAAGGAGGGGAGGAATAGGGCCTGTCATTTCCCTTGGAAGGGCGTTCCAGAGGGCGGCGGGGCACCACTGAGAAAATGATAATATAATTCACATTCCAACATTTGTACAATTCTTATTGTCTCTTTATCTATATTTACCAACAGTCTGGACGCAAGAGAATGTAAAATGACAGATTTAACTTGATAGATGAGATAGGTAGCCAACCCACAGACTCACTCACCTTACTCAAAAGGACACACAGCCCAAACCCTTGTAATGCAAATAGTGCCAACAGCCTGTCTTCACACCAAATAGTGAAGGTACAGTACACAAATCTGACAGCAGAAGGGAAAAGTGTGAATCCATTTTATTTTCCGGGATATTCATTTGGGGATTTTAAGAGACAATAATTCTTCTTGGAAAAAAGAGAGTATTTCAAAAGGTGATTCTAGTATTCAAGCAGTGTTTTATACATATCAAAATTACATTTTTTCTGAAATAGGGCAATGTGTTCGTCTCCCAAGAGAGATAATAAGAAGCACACTCACCCCAGTGTTACCATCAACACTGTGTTGTAAATGATCTCTGTACTTATTATATACATATTTTAATGCAATTGTTGCAGCTGGCTTACATTTGCTCTTCATCTCATTGCTTACCAACTCCACAAACCTTGGCTGGAATCCTAAATTTTGTTTTACTTACAGAATCCTCCCACTAGGAGAAAGGGGGAATTTGGATTTTTGTTGAGATCAGAAGGAAAAACAAACAGAAACATGGTAGCAGCTCTGTGTAGAGAAGTTAGGGAAATGCTAGAAGGAAGCAGAGAGAAGGCCTAACAATTTAATAACTTCTTTGCCTCACTCTTCTTTCAGAAGGAAAGCAGTAACTGGTAAAAATAGAATGAATCATGCAATGAGGAGACTACTCTAAAATGAATTCAAGTCTCCAGGGGCAGATGAGCTTCATTCAAAAGTACAAGAGGAACTTGTAGATGTAATCTCAGAGCCACTATTAATAATATTTAAGGATTCTTGGATAACAGGAAAAGTCCCAGTAGACTGGAAGAGGGCAAATGTTGTCCTTATCTTCAAAAAGCAGCAAAAAGAGGACCCAAATAACTGTCAGTCAGTCAGTTTGATACCAGGACAGGTTCTTAAAGAGATCATCCAACAATCCATGCACACTTTGGAAGTAATGCTGTGATTACTAAGAGCCAGTGTGACTATGTCAAGAACAGGTCATACCGAAGTAATCTAATTTCTTTTTTTTAAAAAAAAACATAGAGTTGCATGTTTGCTTTATTAGATCAAGTATCTCTTGATTTCAGTAAGGCTTTTGACAAAGTTCCCCCATGGCCCAAGGGAAGATACTACATGTAGGCAGGAAAAATGAAATACACAAATATAGGATGGGTGACACCTAGATTAAAAGTAGAGCCTGCCTTCTACTTTCACTAATGTTGAGGACACAGGAGCTCATGAATGTGGAAAAAAACACAAAATCTGTATTTTTAGCTGAGAGAATGTCTGTCTAGGAATGTCTATGTCTTCTAAACAAGACTATGGGCTCAACCTCTGCTTAAATTTCACAATAGAATCATACTGGAGGACCTAGACATTTCTAGAGATAACATTTTAATTCAATCAATGAATAAGCAAATCTGAAAAAAAGTCAACCCCACAAATGTGGAGGGCCAACTGTACTACAATATGAAAAGGTTCTAGGGATCTTATTAGACCACAAGCTAAGCGTGAATCAATGGTATGATGCAACTGAAAAAAGCCAGTGCAAGAGAGATTTATAAGATGAAAAATGAGAGAAACAAAGGAAGTTGAATAGAAGAAAGAGGGGGGAGGAGGAGGAGGAGGAGGAGGAGGGGGAGGGGGAGGAGGAGGAGGAGGAGGAAGCGGCAAGGCAAGGCAAGGCAAGGGGAGATGTAAGTTCCATTTGGCAGGTAAGTGAAAATCAATTATCTCCTACTATGACTTAATTGGTCAATGAATAGCTCCCTTCATGATGATGTTATTCTTGGAAGACAAAGGATTTTTTAAAAAAATAATAATAATAGATGCAAATTAGAGTCACTTCTGGTGTGAGAGAATTGGCTGTCTGCAAGGACGTTGCCCAGGGGACACCCAGATATGTTACCATCATGTGGAAGTCTTCTCTCATGTCCCTGCATGGGAAACTGGAACTGACAGACAGGAGCTCACCCCACCTTGCAGATTCAAATTGCCGACCTTCAAGTCTTCAGCTCAGCAGTTCAGCCGGCACAAGTGTTTAACTTATTGTGCCACCGCGGCTCCAGACTTCTAGTGATTCTGCTTGATGCCAGACACCAAAGTGAGCTTTACTTCTGCTGACCAATCCCATGACAGTGGCAATAAGAACAAAATAATCCTAACTCAAGACGTCTTATGTTTCCATATGCTCATTAAGCATATGCTGAGAACTAATGACTGCATTATATGAATTGCATCTGCTTGGATTTGTTGCAAAAAAAAACACAGCAGAATTATTCCAATACCTCCTTCATTGGCTGTATGGAAAATCAAAATGTATGAATATACAGCAATACGGAGTTATGATATATACTCACTTAAGTGGGAAAAAACCACAACCATAATGCCATTGTTTAATACTGATCAATGTTTATTGAACACTTAGAAGAAAATTTGTGCAATCACAAATATAAACTACATTTTATGGGTGAGTTGGATGCTGTTGATGAGTTTAAACTGTTTTTATAGTATTTAATTCAAAAGTTCTATCAGATTTTATGATATGTATAAAAGTAGTCAGTAAAATCCATTTGGCTATTTTTGCGCTGCTTTGGAAATTGAGATTATAATCAAGCACCACTCATTATTGTTTGTGTTTTCAGTGTTTGGTAATATCACCTTTAGAAACTGGGCAATCTTCTTTTGCGGGGTGATGAACACTTTGAATTTGGTATCCCTTTTAAGCTGTTTTATGAAATCAAAGGAAAAAATAGAAATATTACAGAATGGGTTCATTTTTAATTTTTCATGAAAAAACAAATGTGCAGAAACACATTTTTTAAAGTGCAGTTTCATTAGCCACTATCCATTATTTGTAAATCTATTAATAAGGAGCCTTTCAAATTAATCTCTTTCATTTGCTGAGAAGATTGAGAGAAGCTGTACAAAAAAAGTGGCTTATTTCATAATACCTTCCATTCCAGTCTAGGAGAAAAGTGTCAGAGTGTGAAAGAACCCTGCAGTGAACATGACTGACAGGTATTTCTGACCAAATATGATGGCACCAATAATAAATGCTGTCAAGCAGAAAGCTCGGGACTCTGTAAGGGGAAAAATTGTTGAATTCTGCTTCTAATTTATTTTATTCCTGTTCTTATTTTGCTCACTTTAGACATTTCTTTCTCAGCATCTGTTTGCTATTGGTTGCTAGTTAAATGCTTCCACACAAATCTTTATGACACAGTCACATTTTTAGACCTTGCAGTCTAAAATGAATGCCATTAGGAAATCACTGCCCTTCTCTGGTTACCTGGAATGGTCTTTCAGTTTGGGTTCAAAAGGACAAAACAAAAGGCAGGGAAGGATAACAGATAAGCAAAAATATAGAGAATTGTTTGCCCAAGAGGCCTATAAGAAACTTGACAGTGTGTCAACAGCTATTGAGAGCAATTTGAAAAGACTTCTTTGGGCAGGCAGTAGGGAAGCTGAGCGCTGGCATTGCAAAGTGGAGTTTTCCTCATCCTTTCATGACAAGCTGTGCCTGCCAAGCCTCAGATGCTTTCCAGGTAATTATTTTATTAACAGTGGCCGTTCACCAATATCATGCAGCAACAGCTACTGCTTTGTGAACACAGCTACTACATTATCATCTGTACTTTTTGCATTTCCTCTACCTTTGAACATGCTGCTCACATTTCTTTCAGCCATTCTTTCACTCTGAGACACAGATGCATATCTTATCAGTGAACATATTTCATGCACATGATAAATTAGGTTGCCATGCACAAAAGGTCATACTGTAACAAGTGTGTTCTTCTTTAAAGGTGTCTCATGACTTCATCAGGTTCCAAATGATTAAGAGCTATATGTTGTCTTATAGATACACAGTACGATTCCTAAACCCACAGGACTGGTAGCCACAGATTCACCCTCTCACATCCTTTTTAGGAACTTTATAGGTTCTCCAGCCAATTCTATGGTATGCTTCCACTGGAGGATTCCATAGTGTCTTCCTGGAGTACCTAGCAGATTTCTAAACAGAGGTTGGATGGCCATCTATTGGGAGTGCTTTGATCATGTGATCCTACATGACA